TTATCTTTATTTAAACTTCATTATGTTTATCTTTTCCTTAGTTGGTTAGTCTCTGATAAAAACTTGTAATTGTATAAATACGTTGGCAAATCAATGAATAAGGCAGGCAATTCATACAAATCTTTCATGGTATCAGAGCAGGATTGAGAAATCTAAAACCCTAAAACATGACGAAATCTGGAGAAGAACCTTCAGAGGGTTCAAAATCGTCACCACCTAAAATCGAATCCAATTCTCCTTTCTTTCTTGGACCACAAGACCATCCAGATGATTTCATTACTCCAACAAGACTGCGTGGGGATAATTATGATGATTGGGCAGGAGACATACAGACGACATTAGAAGCACGAAGAAAGTTTGGGTTTCTTGATGGGATGATCACATGTCTTGTTCCTCCGTGTACGACTTCAGATTGGCTCACTATCAACGCGATGTTGGTTTCATGGATCATGAATAACATCGAACCAGAGGTAAAATGCTATCTCTCTAAATACAGGGATGCGAAGAAACTATGGGATACTTTGAAATCACGATATGCGATTGTTAATGGACCCAAAATTCAGCACTTGAAGGCTTCAATTGCAAAGTGTGAACAGAGCAAAACCATGCTTGTTGCAAAATACTTTGGCAAACTAACTGCACTATGGGAAGAACTTCATAAGCATGAGCCTATAATTAGCTGTGAGTGTTGTACAGAGTGCACAGCTGGAGCTAGACACGAGACCAGGAGAGATACAGATATGTTACATAAGTTTCTCATGGGTCTATGTTCAGAATACTCTCCACTCTACGAACTAGCATTCTATCACAGGATCCGCTCCCTTCACTTGACAAAGCTTTTCAACTGGTAGTACAAGATGAACGAGTACGAATCTCAAAGTCTGTTCAGGAGGAAAAGCCAGCGGAAGTTTTGGGTTTTGCTATTAAAGTAGGATCCAATAGGGGACGAGGAAAAGGAGACAGACCTGATAAGTCACATCTAAGTTGTACTCACTGCAAGAAAACAGGTCATGAAGCCAATACCTGTTTCGAGTTAGTAGGGTATCCTGAATGGTGGGAACATAACAACAGGTCTGATGGTGGCACTCGAGGAGGCAAATCAGGCGGACGAGGGAGAGGAAGTGTAAGAGAAAACACAGTCACTACAGGCTCTCACAATGGAGGTATAATGGCTGGAAATAATAGCAACTCACCGCTATTATTTACAGCTGAACAATGGAAGGCTCTGACCGGTCTTATGAGTACTTCCAAGATTACAGATGAAAGATTGTGGATTATCGATTCAGGAGCAACACACCATGTAACTGGTGATGCTTCTTGGTTGGAAAATACACGTAACATACCTGGTGGTCTTGTGGGTCTTCCAAATGGTAAAAAGGTCATTGCAATCCGTGAGGGTTATGTTAGACTTTCAAAGACCATCACTCTTAAAAGTGTTCTTTTTATACCTAAATTAAGTTGCAATCTGATTTCAGTTTCTCAATTAAATGATGATATGCAATGCATTACTCAATTCGATTCTTCTATATGTGCTATACAGGACCGGTCGAGGAGGCTGATTGGAGCGGGTGTTAGACGAGATGGACATTACTACTTTGGGAAAGGTGGATCAATTCTTCATGTTTCGGTGGATGCAACAACCTCCACATTAGAGTTATGCCATAAGAGAATGGGACATCCTTCTGAAAAAGTGGTGAAATCCCTTCCTCCCGTTTGTAACCTTAGGGGTAGTATGAATAAAGCCTGTGAAGTTTGTTTTCGGGCTAAACAAACTAGAGATAAATTTCCTTTAAGTGAAACTAAAACTAGTCGAATTTTTGAGAAAGTACACTGTGATCTTTGGGGTCCTTACAAGCATCTTTCAAGCTGTGGGGCTCGATATTTCTTGACAATAGTTGATGATTATTCTCGTGCAGTGTGGGTGTATTTGTTGACTGATAAAACTGAAGTTTATGAAATGTTTGTGTCTTTTGTGGCTATGGTTGGTAGATAATTTTCAAAACAAATCAATATAGTACAAAGTGATAACGGAACAGAGTTTAATTGCTTGTTTACTTATTTTTCTACACATGGAATTTTGTTTCAAACATCATGTGTTGGTACTCCTCAACAAAACGGGCGAGTAGAGAGAAAACACAAACACATCCTCAATGTAGCCCGATCTCTTATGTTCCAAGCAAAATTGTCTATTTCCTTTTGGGGTGAATCCATCCTCACAGTTGCACATCTGATCAATCGCACACCGTCTCCTTTGCTCGACAACAAAAGTCCATCAGAGATATTGTTTGGTACTCTTCCCTCATATTCTACTCTTAAAGTGTTCGGGTGTTTATGTTTCGCTCATAACCAAAAGGCAAAAGGAGATAAATTCGCTAGTCGAAGCCGAAAATGTGTCTTTGTTGGATATCCATTCGGTAAAAAAGGGTGGAAATTGTTTGATCTTGACACCAACGAATACTTTGTTTCACGTGATGTAAAATTCTTTGAGGACATATATCCTTATTCTGACATGAATTTAACACCACGTGAGACCACAAACACACTACCTGATGGACCAGTTTACTTTGATGAGATTGACGAGGATGTTGTTGGTCTAGATCAGTCACCTAGTGACACTTCACCTATAAATTCGCCCATTAATACACCTGGTCAAGAACTACCAAGCTCTCATACACAACCAATCCCGGACCCCCCGTCTCCACTCGAACAACAGGAAAATATGGGTAGAGATCAAAGAATCAAGTATCCGTCCATCCTTCTTAAAGACTTTGTTGCGTCTACTAAAGTTAGTCCATCCCCGTCCTCTACACACCAGTCTCTACCAGCTTCCTCAGGTACGTCGTATCCTATAGTTCATTATATAAATTGTGATCAGTTTTCTCCTCGGTATAAAGCCTTTATTTCAGCAGTCACTTCGGGAACTGAACCGAGATCATTTAAAGAAGCCATGCTGGACACGAAATGGAAAGCCTCTATGCAAGATGAAATTCGTGCTCTTGAAGAAAATGGTACTTGGACATTGCAACATCTTTCTCCTGGCAAACGTGCCCTTGGTAGCCAGTGGGTATATAAAATTAAATATCACTCCAATGGTGATATAGAAAGATACAAATCACGGTTGGTTGTGTTCGGAAATCATCAACAAGAAGGCCTAGATTATAAAGAAACATTTGCACCGTTGCAAAGATGACTACGGTATGTATGTTTCTGGCAATTGTAGCTTCAAAAAACTGGGAATTACATCAGATGGACGTGCATAATGCTTTCTTACACGGGGATCTACAAGAAGAATTCTATATGAAATTGCCTCCATGGTTCAAATGTTCGAATCCCAACTTAGTATGTCGTCTTCGCAAGTCACTTTACGGTTTAAAACAAGCTCCTAGGTGTTGGTTTGCTAAACTAGCGACAACACTTAAGAAATACGGTTTTCGTCAGTTTTATTCTGATTACTCTCTTTTTACATACATGTGTGGAATGGTGCAAGTTAATGTACTAGTTTATGTGGACGATCTTATCATCTCGGGTAATAATCATGAAGCTATCAAACACTTCAAGACATATTTAAGTAATTGTTTTAAAATGAAAGATGTTGGTCCTTTGAAGTATTTTCTCGGTCTTGAGGTGGCTCGCAATCCCACTGGGGTTTTCTTGTGTCAACGCAAATATACGTTGGATATTATTGCTGAAACCGGTCTTTTGGGAGCCAAACCAGCCGGTTTCCCCATTGAACAAAATCATAAGCTTGGTCTCGCTCAGGGTAAAGAGTTGACTGACCCAGAAGTTTACCGTCGACTTGTGGGTCGTTTGATATATCTATCTGTCACGCGTCCAGATCTAGCATACTCAGTTCACATCCTATCACAGTTCATGCAATCTCCACGGATCGAACATTGGGAAGCAGCTCAACGTGTGGTTAAATATTTGAAGGGAACTCCTGGACAAGGTATTCTCCTACGTGCTGATAGTCCTCTCATCTTGAGTGGTTGGTGTGACTCTGACTGGGCTGCTTGCCCTCTTTCTCGACGATCTTTATCTGGATGGATTGTGTATCTCGGTCATTCTCCTATCTCTTGGAAAATGAAGAAGCAACATACCATGTCTCGATCATCAGTTGAAGCGAAGTATCAATCTATGGAAACTGTTACGTGTGAATTGAAATGGTTAAAAGGTCTTCTTGCTAGCTTGGGAATTCATCACAAGAAAAGTATTGATCTGTTTTGTGATAGTGAACCGGCTCTCTACATTTCACAAAATCCGGTTTTTTCATGAACGAACGAAGCACATTGAAGTTGATTGTCATTTTGTTCGTGATGCTATAGTTGATGGTCTCATTAAACCTTCTTATGTTCATACATCTAAGCAACTAGCGGATATCTTGACGAAAGCTCTAGGAAAAGCTGCATTTGATTGTCTTGTTAGCAAGTTGGGCATTTTCGATCCCCATGCTCCAACTTGAGGGGGGATGTTAGGCGATAAGATTAGCTGGCATTTAGGTTTATCTTTATTTAAACTTCATTATGTTTATCTTTTCCTTAGTTGGTTAGTCTCTAATAAAGACTTGTAATTGTATAAATACGTTGACAAATCAATGAATAAGGCAGGCAATTCATACAAATCTTTCATTTCATTACTAATCTTTTGATTTTTCATGTAAGTATCTATTAAAATTAATTCATATATGAATAATTTTCATAATTTATGTTGGTTTTTTTCGTTTGTGTAATTCAAAAAGAAAATACTCATCCTTACAAACTTATACACAAACTTCTAAATTTAACAATTTTTATAAATCTTTGATTTTTCATTATCATTTTAAATTATCAACGGTTTTTCCTTCTATATACAATCTATTTAAACTTAAACGAGGGACAAATATGTCAATTAACTACAAAATACTGTGCATCATCACCCTTTAACAAAAGCATGAATGGGGCCAGGGGTTAGAAGCATCACAAATATGCACTTTTCCATGTATTTCATCAAAAGATGATTATGAGTATGAAACGTCATAATCGTTGGTAAAAGCTTTAACTTCTCATCCTTCCAACTGTTGGGTCACATAGTACTTTGAGGAGCTAATTCCGGAAACCAAGAAACATCGTCCCATTCAATCTCTAGTCACCCTAACCCCACCAACATTATGTTAATTTTAATAAAATTCATCACCCAAAAAGCCCCTTGTTGATTCCAATTTCATCTTTTGCTTTTCTGAATCAAAGGAACACCTCGGCACATTTTTTGAAACATAAAGAACACAGGTACCCACCCATTTCCTGCAAAATCCAGATGATAGACCCCTCTCTCCTAATTTGATTTATGATCAAAAGAATCAATCTTGTTTCCTTCTCCTTTTTGTTTTTTCTCTGGGGTTTTTGAATTTTTTTCATTGGTGTATCCGAGTTGAGTTTATTTTAGATCGTCCTTGGGTTTGCACCCCAGATGTTTGTTGTTTTGCCTCTGAGAGTGACATTGTTGATACAAGGAGAGCTCGATCTGGGTTGATCACATTACTCTACCTTTCCTTAGATATCACACATATATCTAAATCAGGAGATAATGAGCAAAATCCTTGTGCGCATTTTGAAGTCCGTGGAATCAAAAGTCTGGAAATCACAAACATCCGCGAAGAAAAGGGCAATCAGCATTTTCACAACAATGTCCGTCGCCCATGTCGATGACGAGGTTACCGATGCAGAAGTTTACAACACTGAGAAGCTCTTCTGCAATGGCGACATCTATATCGGTCAGTGGGCTACTGATACCCCTCATGGAAACGGCAAATACTTATGGTCCGATGGGTGTATGTACTTAGGCGACTGGAATAACGGGAAAATCCATGGTAAAGGTAAATTCAGCTGGCCTTCTGGTGCTTCTTACGAGGGCGATTTCAAGAATGGTTTCATGGATGGAGAAGGTACTTTCACAGGCTCTGTAAACGATTCTTATAAAGGTTCTTGGGTTATGAACAAAAAGCAAGGAAAAGGAACAACAAATTACGCAAATGGTGATCATTACGAAGGGGAATGGAAAAAGGGATTCCATAATGGACAAGGGAGGTATCGTTGGGAGAATGGGCATCAGTATATCGGTCAATGGAAGAATGGGAAAATGAACGGGAATGGAACCATGATGTGGGAGAATGGGAATCGGTATGATGGGAGTTGGGAAGATGGATTACCAAAAGGGAATGGGACATTCCATTGGTTGGATGGAAGTTTCTATGCTGGAATCTGGAGTCGGGATCAAAAAGAACAAAGTGGGAAATTTTATCCATCCACTTCACAAGTTCCTCATGATGATTGGGACCCACATCAGTTGTTTTCAGTTGAGATGAGTGAATGTTTGATTTGTGAAGGCGAAAACATTGTGATTTTTCCTTCTGATAAGTTGTTTTATTGGTCTAATAATGAGGAAGGAATGCCTCAAAATCCACCAACAACAACAACAAGGGGAATTGATACGAATGGGAATGGCGGAAATGGGTATTTGGGCGGGTCGTTGAAGATCCGGATGCAACCTGCAAAGAGGCAAGGAGTTACAATATGTAAAGGGCATAAAAATTATGAGCTTATGCTCAATCTACAACTCGGTATAAGGTGAAATATTAAATGAATAAATCATTCTCAATTCTCATAATCTTTATGTTTCATTGTGGTTTTTAAGTTTTCTTGTTTAGTTTACAATCATAAAGATAACACGTGGAAAAATGAAACAAATGTGATGTGTTGATGATTCGTACGTATAAAACTTTTGTGTTATTGGTGTCTGAAGGATCTATTTTGCAGACATGACAGAACAGGTTGTACTGTGTTTGGCTGTTATGACCGTTGACTGATGTCAATGGTATATAAGTATGCATTCATTGTGTATTTTTATCATTTTATTATTAATTAATGGTGTAATTTCAGACATTCTGTAGGAAGGCCAGCTCCGACAAAATCTTTAAAATTGAAGCCTACTGCTTTTGATACGGAGCAAAAGTTATGGACAAGATTTCCTCCCGAGGGATCAAAACATACGCCACCTCACCAGTCATGTGAATTTAAATGGAAAGACTATTGCCCGTTGGTATTCAAGTGAGTCTTGTAGGCTCTCTTTGTTATACAGGATAAGACATGGTTGTACTTTGTTTGTCATGCATTGGATTGAGACTGGAACTAATATGTTGATGAGACAAAAATGCAGGTTTTTGTCTCACCTAAAAAGGAAATGAGACAAAAATTGCAGCTTTTTGTCCCACCCAAAAACATAATAAGACAAAAATTGCAGCTTTTTGTCCACAAAATTACACTTTTTTTGGTGGGACAAAAAACTGCAATTTTTTTACCCAAAAAGGAAATGAGACAAAAATGCAGTTTTTTGTCCACCCAAAAAGGGATATGGACTAGCTCCCAATCTCCGTCGGTACAAAAGACGTGAATGCCCTCCTAATCTGGATGTTCGAAAATAAGCGTAGAACATTTGTCCTGAGGGTATGTTTGGGAATATATATTTATGTTCACTACCATGATTTTCTTTCTTACATGTTATTGATGGTTTTCAGGACTCTTAGGAAACTATTTAATGTGGATCCAGCTGATTACATGTTATCAATATGTGGAAACGATGCTCTTCGGGAGCTCTCATCTCCTGGAAAAAGTGGAAGTTTTTTTTATTTGACTCACGATGACAAGTACATGATCAAGACAATGAAAAAATCCGAAGTTAAAGTGAGTCAATTCAATCAATCCAATGTAGTTTCTTATAAATCTCATATATATGGTTTCAAAATAGTACAAGAAATGGCAACATACTTTTATTTAATTGTTTATTATTTTAGCATCCTACTTTCATTTCTTTCTATTACAACGTTATACTTTCATATCAATAAAAGTATGTTGCTATTCTTGCATTCTACTTCCATTTCTTTCTGTTACAACATTATACTTCCGTTTTTTTTTTCTTATAAAGGGATTGTACTCCAAAATATATCCAATTTTCAAAATTAAATTTTGTAATACAAAAACACACAAATAGGATAGTATAATAAGAAAATCAATACAATATATTTCTCTTTCTCACTTTCTCTTTCAGCTGCTTTATGTTTAGGACATTATACTTTGAAAACATCCATCTACCCAATTATTTTATATCTAATTTAACATTGCCATAATTTGGTATAGATTTTTCAAAACACAATTATTTTATCTTGCATTAATCTAAAAAAAAACCTTATATTTTGTGTTTTTTCCAGATTAAACCTCAACTTTAGTTTTTCCCTTAAAAAAACCTTGTATTTTTTCATTTTTTCCAATCTGCCCTTTTACTCATTTTTTTTTTTTCCAAAACAACTTGTAAAACATGAGCGTTTTTTCGAGAAAAACTAAAAAGGTCGAGGGTTTATTCGGAAGCATTTACAATGCCGAGGGGCTTTTTCGGAAAAAAAATACACTTTTTCGGAAAAAATGAAAAAATACAAGGTCTTTTTCAGGAAAAAATATATATAAGGTCTATTTTTTTTGAGATTAAGCCTATTATCTTTTAGTAGTTGACTCAAATACATACTTATTATACTACTATAGGTTTTAAAAAGAATGCTTCCAGCATATTTTGATCACGTGAAGTCGTTTGAGAACACACTTGTTACAAAATTTTTTGGACTACATTGTGTGAAGTTAAGTGGGCCCATACAAAAGAAGGTGCGATTTGTCATCATGGGAAATTTGCTATGTACTGAAGTTCCTATTCATAGACGCTATGATTTGAAAGGTTCTTCACATGGGAGAATAACAGATAAACCAGAAACCGAAATTGATGCAAACACAACTCTTAAGGATCTTGATCTTAAATTTATTTTTCGGTTGCAAAAAGATTGGTATCAGGAGTTTTGCAGGTAAGCTATATATGATTGTTTCTATTTTGATTTAATACAGAAAGAACGACTTAACAGACTAAGGGTTTACAAATGTGCACTTTTTTTTTTTTTGTTTCTTCTTTCCATTTTACAAATATGCCCCCCCCCCCCCCCCCCCCTTTTTTTTTTATCTTCATTGTTTTCCCTTGAGTATATAATTACGTTGGTATTATGGGTAAAAGAAGATAAGTATGTTGGCATGTACTGTGTTTGACATGAAATGGATGAATGAGTGATGTCAATGGAATAGGGACTCATTTTGGATATCTTGTTTGTGTAAAAGACGGAAATGCCCTTCGTATTGTTATTATCGAAAAAAGCCCTAGAAAGCTTGTCGAAGTCCTGTGTAGTAAATTTAGCCGAAATGATAGAATTGTGAGATGTTTCTTGAAGAATGTTGCATAGTTGTTTTAAAATTTATTAATTTGTTTCAAAATTTATATATAATTGATGCAGTCAAGTGAACAAGGATTGTGACTTTCTTGAACAAGAGAGAATTATGGATTACAGTTTGTTGGTTGGTATTAGCTTTCAAGAACCAAATAGGCAAGTAGCTGAAGGTATAACACATACATCTCTTTCTCTCTCTCTCTCTCTCTCACACACACACACACACTAAAAAACACACACGTCCTTTTTTTTTTTTTCTCGTTAAGTGTTGTGAGGATAACTGATATTTAAAGTTTTTTTTGAGAAAGTAAGTGCACTATTGGGAAATGGGAAGAAAAACATACATGGGGGCAAATTTGTAAAAAGTCAGGAATTAAAGTAAAGCAAAAAGAAACAGCATCTTATTTTGTGTTTTTTTTTTCAGTGAATGCTGATGCTGATAGCAATGGAACAACTCCTAGCCTTTCAACAGACATGGATTCTCTTATCAATCCTACAAAGTAAGTTACATGTTGAAATTTAATAAATATTATTAAAAAATTTAAACACTCTTGGTTTGAGCCTATAAGGTCCTGTTTTTCTGTCTCATAAATTCATGTCATGTTTAAAAGGTATTTGAGAAAATGAGTAACATGTGAAAATGGAAGGAAAAAAAATGAGTATTTAAAATTTTACCCTTACATTCTTAACAAATAATTTCCCAATACTTATTAATTTTAACGATTTTGGTCAATTAAAAAGTGAGTGAAGATCGCAGGGAACAAAAAAAGGATAAATAGTGAAACTCAAATGGTAAATGTTTTTAACCGAAAATTAATTTGAATACATAAAAATAATTAAATTGTGCTTTCCAACATTTTAAATTTGGGAATGAGTAGTGATTTGATTGGAACATTAAAAAGTATAATGACCTAAAATATCGGGTTAATCTTTAAATAAAACCTTATATTTTGTGTTTTTGTCCAGATTAAACCTAATTTTTTTTGCATGTAAAGGACCTTGTATTTTTTCAAATTTTCCGAAAAAGCCTTCAACTTTGTATTTTTTTTCGAAAAAACCCTCAACCTTCTAAATGCTTCCAAATAAACCCTCGACTTTTTAGTTTTTCTCGAAAAAAACCCTTCACATTTTACAATTTTTTTTTTTCGAAAAAGAAAGACAAAGGGCCACATCGGAAAAAATGAAAAAAATACCAGGTCTTTTTTCATGCAAAAAAAAAAAATGAGGTTTAATCTGGAAAAAAAACACAAACTATAAGGTCTTTTTTAAAATTAACCCTAAAATATATACAATTGAAAGTTTACTAAATGGGATATTAAGTACATTGCTATTTTTAATCTAAAAAAATTTATACGATTGTAAATTTGTAGGTGTAGTTGTTTACGGTTAGGAATTAAAATGCCAGCACGCGTTGAATTCACGGTGAGAAGTAATGACACGCAACTAGTTGGAGAACCGACAGGACAATTTGGTGATGTCATCCTTTTCTTTGGTATAATAGATATACTACAAGATTATGATATAAGTAAGAAGCTTGAACACGCGTATAAATCATTCCAATGTGATTCCACTTCCATTTCTGCTGTCGACCCAAGATTTTATTCTAAAAGATTTAAGGATTTTATATTTAGAGTTTTTTCAGATGACAGTTAAAAAAAGTTGTTACAGGATTTGAGAGTAAAGAAAGAACCGGTAGGCGTCAAATGTATAGTTGGTCAAGAGTATATGATATTGGCCATTTGTGTTTACCGGTGTACTTGAGATGTAGACTAGATAGTGGTTTTAGAGGTTACTAAAGTTAAAGATATAGATTGTTTTATATGAAATGGTGTTGTTAGTTTCGTTGTGTTTGTGTAGGCTTATGTTCTTCTTGAGTTACTAAAATCTACAAATCGGAGATGGGTCGTGTTCATGAAGTTAAAAACAAACGTAAAAAGGGAAACAAAAACTTGTCTACATTTATTATTATTAGATACTTGTAGACTATGGGTGTTTGGTGTAAAATAATAACATTATGGGTATGCTTGACAAACAATTTTTAGCTTTGGGGAAAAGCACCAAAAAAATGGAAAATTTTCATTCAGGAAAGTTTTTCGGTTTTATTTTAAAATAAAAAGCTCATGATCTAAAAGTTACTTTAAGTGGTGTTCGGAAGTTTTTAACTTTTTGAAATTTTTAGCTTTTGGATTTGTACAAATTTAAACATTAAAAGTTAACAGCTATTTTTGCTGAACACTTTTGCACAAATAAAATCTATAACTTCAGGCTACAAGCTATCACTAGCAAGGTTCTAAATAACGTAAGACGTGACTTAGCGGCATGGTAAAAGTTAAGCCATAACAAGCTTTGGCGAGTTATGACGTTTTTCAAGGCGTGACTATATTATATACATTAAAAGATATAAATCACATAATTATTGAATTTTATCAAATATATGAAGTTTTTAGAAGTGTTATATTAATATCTAATATAAAAAAAGTTAACAAAAACACATTTATTTTAGACCCGATAGAAAAAACAAAAGAAAAAAAAAACAAAAAAACTCGCGCCTTGAAAAAATCTCCCGCCATAACACGATAAGGTGCGCCTTGGCACGTTATTTAGGTGATACGCTTAACAAACCCGTCATGGATGTTTTCGTAACGGCTATACCACGCCTCATGCCACAACACGCCTTGAAGCGCGCTTTTTAAAACCATGATCACTAGTTTTGCCTAAGACACCTATATACATACATAAAACATGTAGAGACATACATAAAATAGGTGACTAGCACATTTAAATATCAAAAAGGTATACCATAGTCATCTCGAAAAAAAAAAAAAAACAATTTGAAAAACATCAAAGGTTTGTAAATCAAATAAAATAAATGATTAAATATAAATTATAAGTATTAGCGAAGTACTATCATAACAATAAATAGTTTTTTTTTAAATGGAAGAAATTTTATTAATAAATCAGGTAAAAGCTGTGAAGAAATAGCCACGTTTGAAATTTTTAACCAACCAACCTAGTTCATTTTCAAATTTTCACTTCTATTAGACAACTCAAAGTAAGACTCTGACATGTTTATCGAATAAGTCATATCTTCTTGGGGTTTTATAACGAAAAAAAATTCAAGAGTTTCGAAAACTTTCAAAGAACCCATAAGGTTGTAAAAACAACAAACATTTTCACCCCTTCAAGCATGAATGGTTCGCCCAACAAAACCAATCTTGAACTATGCAAAAATAAGGTATATTTAAGTTCCACCCTCGTCCAATATGTCTTCAAATGGAAAAATCCAAGAAACAAAAAATGAAATAGTGACCGGTCATCTCTGTATTTAAATAGACGGATTTCGTTTAAGCTTTTAGAAATTGTTCTTGATTATTTGTGTAAATGTATGGTGTTGCTTATTTTTATGTTTTGATTTATATGGACTAGAAATTGATTGTGACACATGTTTTGTTTCTTTTATGTTGTTGATACACCTCATGTTAGAAGTTTTAGGGTTTGTAGTGGAGATCTGGATACCGACTTGGATCGTGATATCACTTTCCGAACTGATATTTCTACCCTATGCCTGGGTTACAAGAAGTTCAGCCTAGGATAATCTAAGTGGACATTTACGATTCTAGGCACAGAAATCGTAAGCCAATATCCTAGAGAATTATGTGAAAGTATGATCAAACGAGAGCTTAAGATTGTAATCCTCTTCTGAAAAGAATCGTTTATATAATAAACGATATTAGGGTTTTATTAGGTTGGACCATCATTAGTTGCTTTGGAAGCAAGTAATGTTAATCCAGATTTAGGGTTACCAAAAACTAACGAGTTTCGTTAGTTTTACCATAAACACCCTCAAGAAAATGAATTTCCCACTATGGTCCCATATGTAAAACTAATGAGTTTCATTAGTTGCTATGGACCCCACTAGGGGCGCTGCCTCTTTGGAAACCCCGGACCCGGGGGCGCTGCCCCTGGACCCCCAACTAGTCGTCGAATCGGCTTTTAATTCAATCTTATACATGCGTGCACTCCGCACAACCCCATATATATATTAGAGTACAAACTATGAAGCCTCTTAGCTCACATGTTAGTTCCAGTTACTTAGAATGACATGGTGACACTAAAATCACCAACAATCCTCGCCCATTTTAGTGTAACCCTTGAGTAAACATAACATTATCAAACAAACCAAACTAATACATAATCAGGGCGGTTCATGGGCGAGCTGGGCCACAGCCTAGGGCATCACAATGACAGGGGCATCAACTCTGGTCCACTTATTACGGGCCAAAATTTTGATTCAAGGAAGTCTGACAATGGGCAAAAGAAAAACTAGTACAGAGCGCCAGTTTCAAAATTTGGAAGACGAAAAGACGGCGGCTTCAAGTAGATTCAGGAAACAAGGAGACTGACTTTTGCACGCAAGCAGACTCTAATGACTGCCACTAACTCAAAATCCGATTATTCCAGCGGTCATAATTATAACCGTCGCTCACATCGCCGATCCTTCTCCGCTCCAGGATTCTGATCTCCGACTCCAACTCCGACGCCAACTGTAGTCGTGGTAAGTCTCATTTTCTTTTTCTGGTTTTTTAAAAACGTACTTTTTTATTTTCTGGAATCGATAGTGAACATGAATTTCTTGTTAGATTTTGAATGTGTAGGTTAATTTCTATCTCATTCCTAGTTTAATCGTATTCCTGATTTTAGATTTTGTTTTAATCCCAATTTATTTTTCTGTGAATTGGTACACCTCCTGTGTTCAAGCAACATTTTTTTATTAGAAATTGATGCAGCACATGTTACAATTTTTTTATCTGATTTTATCATATATATATATATATATATATATATATATATATATATATATATATAAGTAGGTTCATGCGAAAATATAAATATCTTGCGAAAACGCGAAAACAAATTTTATCTTGTGAAAATCAAGCACATGTACTATAAAAAAATAAATTTATTAGCAATAAATTAAATATAGTAAGTTTACATTGGACGGTGTTATGGTAATATAGATTTAAAGACGGTTTTGATAATTATATTTTTTTACGTCCTTAATCATTTTTAAATTCATGTTTTCTTAATAAAAATGTTAAAAATCATACTTTGCTAATATGAAACAATTTATCATCTATCATCGATTATCATCATATATTTCAAAGTTTGGATGAATTATTTTCCAAAATATAATGTTGAGGTGACACAATATCATTGGTTTTTCTTGTTTTTGCGTTTTCGCATGAACTCTCCCCTATATATATATATATATATATATATATATATATATATATATATATATATATATATATATATATATATATATATATATATATATATATATATATATATATATATATATGCATTTTTCAGGAATAGGTACACCTCTTGGATCTAAAACGAGATGATCTTTTTAACTGATTTTATCATAGGCATTTTTGAAATAATGATGAAAGGGGGATTCACTTGGCATGCGTGTTGTCCATAAGGTAGACATCTATAGCAATAGAACAAGGTGGGAATAAGATCTAAGGTAGGAAAACCAAGGGCAATTCATTTGTGGGCATAATATCAATATCTCGGGTGGGGGTTTCACTTGTCATACGTTTTTCTTTGGTTATCTCTCACATCTGTATAAGTATTTCACTGACACGGGTTGAATGGATTGGTTGTAATTGATGTCAACTGGAACGGGTTTTTTCAAGGGAACAAGGAAACAAAGAATCATAATCTGGAGTGGGTTCTCATGGTGATAGCCGAAGGGAAATTCATTGTTTGCTTCAATTTCGAGAAGAAGGCTCTCGCGAATGGAATGACACTTTGAAGATCGAAATGGAAGATCACTACTGGAAGGAAAATCAAGAGATGGTTTTCCTTTGTTCTTATGTCACTACATTAGGACAAGTATAGATGTTTTACCAAAACCAAAAAAAAAGTCCATTTTACCGTCTGTGCTGGAAAGGATCACTGGATGGATAACAGGATTGATGATATGCTCACATGTTCTAGTGGTTCTACATCATGTAGTTTTGGGTTGATTGCTAAAATCCCGTTTGACCCTTTTGCCCATCTTGTTTTAGAATCTTTTTATATGGTTCTTTTGATGGTTCTACATCATGTATTTGTTTTTTTTTTTTTTTTTTGCCTGTGTTTTTGTTGCTTTAGTTAGTTTGTACTGTGACCTCCAGCTTCATGTTGGTTTTCTGGTGTATATATTTGCCACTGTTGTTCAGAAAAAAAATATAACTGTATTAAAATCTTAATATAGCTTGTAGTGGTTAATGTCTTTAGTGGCATTTTAGGTAATACTATTTGTCATATTTTTTTTTTTTTTTTTTTTTTTTTTTTTTTTTTTAAGATATGCATTTTAAATAAATCTCTAGATTTTTTTGGTTTTGCAATTAATATCATTACATGGTGTGTGTGTGTGTGTATATATATATATATATATATATATATATATATATATATATATATATATATATATATATGTGCAATTAATCTCTAGGTAAAACTATTTGTTAGTATTTCTAAATACAAAAATGACTTCATTAAGATTGCATGGACAATCGATATGATCACAGGGCATCATTAAACATTTTCGTCCAGGGCATCAAATACCATTGGACCGGCCCTGTACATAATGAAAATAT